AGAACTGGGCAGAGAGATTGTGAAGGATCTGGAGGACAAGATTTATACGGAGTAGTTGAGGTCACTTGTTCAGAGCAGAGGAGCTGAGCGGAGGCCTCATGGCAGCCTGCAGATCCTCACAGGGAGTGGAGGGGAAGTGCTGATCTCTGCTCTCTGTGACAGCAACAGGGCCCAAGGGAATGGCAAGGAGCTGAGTGGGGAGGGAGGTGGAGTTAGGGAAAGCACCAGAGGTCACAACACCAAGCCTGGCGGAGTACAAGAAGAATTCGGACCGTATTCCAAGACATAGAGTTTCAATTTTGTGTGGTTGCGTGTGGAGTCAGCATTTGGACTTGATGGTCCTTGTGGATATTGATCGTTTAGCCAAGTGTCATGGAAGCTTAGCTGAGGAATCAGATCTTGAAGATAGTATTGAAGTAGCAAAAAAATCAATAGATTTATCTTTGTATAGACAGATAAGGTGGAGGTGTTTTGTGTCTCTATTCCAAAACATGTTTCAGGGTAGGAAGAGATATATTATTATTGATTAAGAGTTGAAATTCTGAGTTTGGACTTCAGAAGCTCTGATATCATATGATTTCTACATCCATAGAAGTACTTGATGATGGAACAAAGATTAGCAGATATGCAACCTAAACTTCAGCCATGTTACCTCTGAAGAAAAATCTCCTTTGTTTCTTGAATGGGAGAACAAACAAAAGAAGAGGCAAAGAAATTCTGTTGTGGTTTAGAATTATTCATCATGAACTATTATTCTTTGTTATTTGGGTAATCTATGCAAACAATGCCAGGGCTGCTGGCCATCCAAAACGCAGATAATTTCATACTCTCAGGATCTTGTATGATAAACTAGCTTTTCTAGCTGTAATATAAAGCATGAGGGCCATTAAATAAAATTCCAGCCTTGCAGAAGATGCCAATGTCTGCCACAGTATAGCACGAGTCATACGATGAATGTGCTTTTTTCATTCTTGCAATTTGTGCAGAAATGTTTGACTTTCCCTAGCAAGTCTTATACAAAGCAAGGAGAATGTCTCTTTGTAAGAGATTTATAAATGTGTCCTTGAAGAGTGAGTGGAGAGATGCATGTTCTGCTGAGAAATTGGCAGTTTTTTTCTCATCTTTACCACATTCAGCTGTTGTCCTTGTTCTTGTCCTGTTTCCTATTAATGTAACATTTCCCCCAACCCTCCTCCCCCCTCCATTTTCTTTTCTAAAACCTTGCAGTTCATTAAACAGGAATACTTAGCATTTAGAAAGTAATTTTAATACATTCTTTCCTGAATGCAAGAGTCCGTGGCTATTGACTTAAGAGACAAATTATTTTTTTGTGCTATGACCTTATAGATTTTACTTAGTCATGCAGTGAGGCATTATTCTGTGTGAGATGGTAGGACTTTATTGACAATTTAGAGAGCTTTTAGGAGAACATTAGTGATTAAAGTATTAAAGATGTAAAAGCCAACAGAAATTCACATTCACATGGTCAAAGCAATTTAATAAATTGTGTTCAAATTAGCTCTTCTTAACAAGCCACGGAGCCTGCCAAATTGCAATTTGAAAGGCAAATGAGCACACCTTTGCTGATAAGACCCTTCATGGCTATTTGAGATGAGCTTTTACTAATTGTGTTTGACTGCGAGGTAGGAGGCTTTGAGAATGAAAAGTTTCTTACAAGGTGCTGTACTCTGAAGCATGTGTAATTTCCCTGTGTGCTGCTACTCTGAACTGCTGCAGTGCTAGAGTTGAATTACAGAAAAGGGGAGCAGGCAACAAATAAATTATGTACACCTCTCTTAAATAATTGGTGAATATTTTTTTCACTGTTCCTTGACAGTTTAGATAGGTCTCATGCTTTGGGAAAATAAAGAAGTGTGTTAAATCCTGTGTTATTATTGATGCCTTTTTTTTTAAAGTTTGTGGTATAAATCTACTGCCAGCGGTAAAAATGGAAGACAGGTCCTCTGAGCGCTGGCATAGTGTAAGGCAAAGAGAAGAGTCAGAAATGTGGCTCTATGTGGGATCTTGTGCAAAACTTTTTTTTTTTTTTTTTTTTTTTTTTTTGGATGGGAGGTGGGTAAGTTGAGTACAGAGAGTGTTTTATAGTTATAAATATTGTAAGATTACTTACGTGTGATAATTTCTGAAGCTAACATTGGATTTGGGCTCTCCCAGTGGCAGGACCCACAGTGCCTGTTACAAATGCTTTAAGCTGAAGTACGAGGAGGGAGGACTCCTGCTGTGTGTGGCCGTTGTCTTCTTGCTATATGATTCAGGATTTTGAACTATCCTTATAGCTGGTGCTGAAAGAAAACAAAAAGTTCCTTTTATTCTTAGATAAAATAGAGTAGACTGCTCCTGGATAGTCTGCAGCTTTCAGGCTACTCAGGATGGGAGTGCCGAGGACAGATTCCCTATAAGAGCAGGATGTATGAAAATTTTGAATGTCTTCAAATTGGGATTTAAAGGGTTATATTTGCTATTAGAATCAGAATCACAGAATGGCCCGGGTTGGAAGGAACCTCAAGGATTATCAAGTTCCAACTCCCCGCCACAGGCAGGGCCGTCACCCTCCCCATTTAATACTAGACCAGGCTGCCCAGGGCTCTATTCAACCTGGCCTTGAACACCTCCAGGGACTGGGTATCCACAACCTCTCTGGGCAGCCTGTCCCAGCATCTCACCAGTCTTGTAGTAAAGAACATCCCTCTAACAACCAACCTATAAATTGCATATAGGGATGAAAATGGACATTTTCCTACCTAGGAAAATTTTCCTTTCCTAGGTTTTCAAACAGTGACCAGTATGGCTTACTGTAATTTTGTACTGAAAGATTAATTCCAGTGAATTATTATTTGCCCATGCATTCTTAAATTCATCTCTACCATCACAAACTGCACCTCTTGAGCACATACTTGAGTATGCCTTTACATTTTATTTGTTTGTGACCTTCTTAATGTTTGTTTAAAATATTTAGAGAAAAACTCAATTACAATGAAATGGCATTTTTACAGTGCATCACCACTCTCTCTGAATTTTAATATATTTTGCCTAATTGAAACTCACAAATGAAAAAGGGACTGTATTTAAATTTTCTTATTCTTTTGAATCACACATAAAAAGCAATTGCATGAAACCACCTGGAAAAAGAGACACCAAGAAAAGTGATGCAGATGTACACAGTAACAAATGAAGTTTAAAGAACCTTTGCCACACTTGATGGTCACTCCAATTTAGATGCTTCTCCACTCCTGATTCAGACAACCTGGACCTATAAAACCGATTGCAAATCTTGCTTTGCCTGGAGAAGCATTGGGTCCCTACATTCGCAGCAGTCAATTTAATTCTGGCTGACTGTGTGAACTTGGTGTGTTTCAGAAAAAATGTAAGAAATTATGTAGTGTTCTGCTGTAGGATAATTTTTTTGGATACTTTAAAATTGAAAATAAACTATAAAAATCATTTAAAATAAATAAACAATTTTGGGGTGCACCTGAGATAAAATTTTTGTGGTGATTTTGAAAATCCAAGCACTGCAAAAGTATTCAACTATAATCTAAGTTCATTAGAAAGATTTTCTTTTGTAACAGCTTTTCTGCTCAGGATGCATTGATGCTACTATACCAAGAATTAAAGCCTATTTCAGATAGTTAATTACTGGTGCAAAGACTGTATTTCTGGACAAAAAAGAAAAAAAAAGGGGAAAAAAAAAGAAAAAAAAAAAGAAAAAAACCTACAGAACTACCCACAGACAAAAAGAAGCCAAATGAACAAACCTCCCCAAACCTCTACATCAATGTGAAATTCAAAAGTGATAGAAACCTATGGCAGCTTATGAGACATGCCTGATATAAACTTGGAGATGTAACTGTGACTGTTAGAAATTTGCTTGCGATCAATGCCTATCAGCTACAAGCATCAGAGAGAGACAGATATTGGTGAGTCTCTTTTGTGCTTTAACCTGAGAAAACTGTCAGGGCTTGTGTGCAGCCTGTGTGCAGTTTGTTGGTTCTTGTGCTGGATCTCAGCCAGCCATTAGTGCTGGACCTGCTCCTGTGTGTGCCTGGCACTGCCTCCCTGGAGACAGCACAGCCCTCAGGCTGTTTCAGAGAGGTGGAGTGCTTGAGTAAACTCAGGCCATCTGTTGGTTGCCTTAGTTAGTTCTCCCCATTTGCCCATAAAGTATCTGCTTTCTTTTTTTTTTCTTCTTTTGCCAATTAGTATATTTTTCTTTATACAGTTCTAGTAGGACATAAAAGACAGGGGGAAATGTGTTTTTCTATTTTTCCTTCTTTACTTCTTGTGGTTAGATGCATTTCATTACAGCAGCCTTGTTTAACAAATTAAATTACCCTCTTTATATGTGTTCTGCTTTGTAAACATTTAATGGGTCCTCAGAAATATCCTTTCTTCACGACACAAAAGAAACACAATTACAGTTTCTTTCCCACTTTTTTTTCCCCTTCATTTTTTTCTCCATTTCCTCCTTCTTCTTTTTTCCTATTTCTCTTATTTTTTTTTTTCTTCTTCCTCTCCTTTCCTCATGAAAACTAATGCTATAACATGAATAAATAGATAAGGGACTAACTTGATTACATTATCATAATTTAAATTATTTACTTCAAACAATATGTTTGTTGTTCAGCATTCAAGGAATAATTAAATTCAGTAGTAATTATTTGGTTTCAGATTCAATCATCTTTAAGGGATCTGTTTTACTTTTCTCTTAGTCCTCTATATGAGTCCTTGAGCATTTAGAAATTGAATATTCAGTCACCAGAATCAGTCAGTTTTGATGATTTTTAGTAGCACCTTATGCCTTTTAAACAAAAAGTTGAAGTTTTTCTTTCGCAAAGCATGCTGAAATTTTCCTTTTGTCATTCTGAAGATCTTGAGTAAAAACAGAAGACTTACTTAATGATGTCTGTTGTGTCAAATCAGTTTTCTTATTTTGAATGTTGTTTGCCATGTTTATTTATTTCTGCTTTTTACCCTTGCAGATATATTTGAAAAACAAAGATTTGTATACTGTGGAAGCCAACAATCCTCGTCAGCTAGTGGAAATTGCAGCCAGAGACATTGAAAAACTGCTGAGCAACAGATCTAAGGCTTTGGTGGTGAGTACTAATTGGTTACATTTTCTATTTACCATTAAAATACATATATATATATGTGTGTGTGTGTGTGTGTGTAATAATCTATGTATAATACATATACATATGTATGTATGTATGTATATATGTGTGTATTTTTGAATCATGCTTTTGTTGTTTATTTTCCTGCCTGTATGGTTATGGGCAGTGTCAGCCTGATATATACAGGACATGACATGTAAAAAGAGCTCGTGACTTCGTGGTAAAAAAATGAACTCATCAGTTAGTTGGCATAGTGCAGATGCTTATAATATTGACTGACAGATGAGGAACCATGTCCAAGTAACAAATCAAGCCATAAAGAGACTGGAAAATATTCCTCTAAGTGATGCATGTGAATGTTTATGATCACTGTAATTTACAGTCAGTCATGATCTTGAGGAAACAACCTTTTTCTTAAGACATTTAAATACAACTGTGTTATTGGAGTTATAATGTTAATTTTGGTATTATTGCTAAATAAATCTGTTAATATTTGGTCTCTTCACCTTTTTAGTTCATCGTTCTTTCTTGGTAGTAGCAACTAATTCTCCTTCAACAAATGTAGCTGTGTGTGAATAGGATTTATATTCAGACTTATTCTTCTGACTTGATAATTTTATCTGTATTTCAATCATGTACTAGCAAAGTTAATCCTGAACTGCTAGTGTGAAGACTGTGCTGTTTAGTAATCTCTTGATTCTTTATTATTTGAATACACTGCAGCTATTTCTTGAAAGGGCTTTTGTCAGTAGTCTCTTTCTGTTCTATTGTGGAAGGCACCAATCTTGGGTATGCTTTTGTTTTAACTCATACTCACAAAAATATGAATCCTAAAAAAGTTTAGTTTCATTTTCAGAAGATAGTGAAGAAACATGCATGGGGGATCTGGATGAATTCATAAACATGCTTTTTATAGAGCAGAGCTATCAGGAATAGGCTTGGATGGAAAAACAGGTTGGGATTCCCTGAGGAATTGCGTATCTACTTTGACTTGCAGATGAGTTCAGATGTGTCATTTAAAGTGAAAGTGAGAAGAAAGAAGGATTAATTTGCCTAACTTTATACATCTGTACTGTAGATGTAGATTTTAGAACTCCGCCGGTTGTCCAAATCTCCCCTTTCATTCAGCGGAATAAAGCAGGCACTTCTCAGTCAGGATTGACCTGACACATTCTCAGTATGCCTTTAAAATGGGATGAACTACAGCCAGAAATATGGACTTCTCTCTTTCTTTATCAGAGGTGTCTGGATATATATGCCTATGCTGCAGGTGTAAAGCTGGGAGAAATGAGTTCCATTCTAGCAGCCCTTTTATCAGTACAGTTTGACTCAACTGGAGAATCAGTCTGCAAGTGAAACTGCTGCTGCATACTATGCTGGGGGCTAAACTTCTTGTGGAAATGAGAGAAATGAGAGGTCATTCGCTTAGTCAGTTCTTTGTGCTTAGGTACCACAGAAGGTATGCGTTTTCTGCTTAACAGAAGTTTATTCTTCCATTTCCCATAGCTTCCCTAACACATAATGTAAACCAGCGTTATCTGGTAAAACTTCTCTGCTTCAGTCAAATAGATGTAAAATGCCGATAATATTTTTCTTTGCTTTCCTTTCCTAACTCAGTAGGCATGTGTTTTTGTAGTCTATGTATTCTATGGACTTTGTATTATTACTGCAAAATACACCTTTTTTTTTTTTTTTTTTCTTGAATTCATTTTCCATGAATTCATATAAGTCTGTTTTGTTGAAGTTATCACAGCCAACTCTTACTGTTTTCCTTAGGTTCAGGATTCTTGTAGGGATTTTTGTGTATGTGTGATGTTGTGATCATAAAGCCCTGAGAAAATCAGATAAGTATATCATGTTTACTTTAGAAAAGATTCTAGAACAGTTCTTCTGTGAATCTAGGTGAAGGGCATCCAACTTCGTGTTAGGCAACTGCTCGATCACTCTTTGAAGAGGGTAATATGATTCAGTTCCTTGAAGTAAAAGAAGATTAAATTAGGGAAAGAACTCCTTCGGACCACTTTAATATCTTTTCTTTTTTCTTTTTCAAAAAAAGGTTTTTAGGACTTCTCAGATAATTTTAAACAATTAAGCCAATACAACCTGAAGGCAAATGAAAGTCCTTCAGATGCGCTAGCGGCTAAAGACTTATGAGTTTAAAACCAATTTTATTAGTTTGGAGGATGTGACTCACAATGTCTTTAATGCTTGAGGCTGGCATTACTGCCAGTGCTGCAACAAATGTACAGCACTTACTATTTTTAACTACATGCCATCATTTCAGGATGTACACAGTGGTTCTGTGCATAACAGCAAGAATTTGGCTTGGCATCTGTATCAGTGCACGGTGAAATTCACCCTCAAATGATGGCAGTATCTTAGCTCTCTCCTACTTCCCAGAACTGCATTTGCTTTGCCGTTCTTTAAATTCTAATCAGTGCTGTGGAGATAACTTCTACAATTTTGGATTTTTTTTTTTTTGACTGCGAACCACCAGAATTTGCAAACATTAATTACATGATTGCAACATACATTTGAAATACTTTTTGCAGCAAACTGCTTGAAATGGTCTGCTGAAACTTTACTTTTGTTCAAGAAGGACTGAGTTGACTTGCAAATGTTATCAGATTTCCAGTATTTGCTTTGGCACAAGGTTCTGAGAATTTTGTTTACTTTTATGTTCTAATTCTCTCTCTATATATATCTACATGGTAATCTCATGTGCTTTCATAGACTTCCCTCTCTCCATTTTATTTTTGTTGCTGCTGTTTGTTTGTAATTTAAATATTTATGTGCATTCAAAAATAAAATTGACAAAGTCTTTTGCTTCTGATCAGCTTTCCAGCTATGTTCAATCAATCACTGATTTAGAAATGAGCTTTATATCTCAGAATTAATAAGGCTGTGTCAGTGTTGATCAATCCTTTCAATACTAATTTCACTGTTTAATTTAACTTCTGATTTCTGATTCAGATATTCTTCTCAACCATTATCAAGGTTCGTTGTTCTGAGCAATTCTGTTATTGTTTCTTTAAAAAATGCATTTCTGATGCATATTCATGTACCTAGGGACTTAGTCCAATTTAAAATTTAAAAAAAGAAAAAGCCTAAAAAACATTACTTAAGGGGAGAAATGCCCTTTTATTAATCTCAGCCCTAGGCAGATTTCTTTGCTGACTCGTATTCTACATTATTTTTAATTCTAGAGCATTTTATGCTGGTTTCCCTTGTGCTATCACCTTAAGAGCTCCTTACGGCTCAGTTATTTGTACTGGCTTTTCTATTTGCAGTTATCCCGGATTTATATCAGAGCTTTCAGTGACTCCTGATTTCTAAACCTTCCTATTTTTAGGAAGGTTTTTATACACGTGAAGCTTGTTTGCTATTTCCTGAATCTGAGCCAATAGTGTCTATTAAAAAGAATTTCTTCACCTTCCGTATGTGTTTTTTTTCTTTTTTTCCAAGGTCTACCTTTATGCATGTATTTTGTAAACTTTGTCTGAAGCTGAATCATTTATCTGAAATTTGAGTTATCTTAAATCTCCAGGGTCACATTTTCTGTGAAATTGGGAGTGGAGTTGAATGGAACTGTTACTAATGACTGCGCAGAGGGTTTTACCGTTGGGGCTAACATGACTCAAAGTGTTAATTAAGACCTGAATCCCAAAAAGAGCTTGATGGAAGAGGATCATACATCCTCCAGTAATGTGAAGAGAAAGGTGCCAGTGAAGGTTATCAGCAGTGTCATTGTTCAGACACAAGTATATCCCAGGGGTGCCACGATCTTCCCTGGGAGTGCTACACAAACAATGCTTGGGTAAAGTTATAATAAGCAAGTATTAATGACTTTTCTAATAATACGTTGGCTTCCCTTAAGTTGCAAGTGCACCTTTCAATAAAAAATAACATTTGCATACTAAATTATTCCTGTTTTCATGTACCATTGTGCTCAATAACTCTCTGTGAAAGGCAGAATTACTGTGCCTTACACAGAAAGGCTTGATTAAGTTAGAAAAGCTTTGTGATGTCGTATCTGTTTCCATATGAGAAAATAAGAAAAATTTGGACAATGGTGACATGTTAATTCTGTAAGGAATGAAATTATATTGTTCTTCCATGTTAACTTATGCTTGGGAGCAGCTTCAAAGGTGATTGAAATAGGTATGTAGTGGACAAAGAGAATAGAGGAAACCCTGATGTTAACACAGAGGTATTTGCTAGGTGGTGGTTACTAGAAACTGTGAACCACAGAAGAAAAACTTAGGATGAAAATGCAAGAAGAGGGATGCATATTAAGTATTTTGTGAGTATTGTTAGAAATACTGAAAAGAGTGCATGACTTGTTAATTTATAAAATTTGGTTTAAGGAGTAAGAAATATTTTCCAGACATTTAAAACCTACTTAACACAAAATTACAGAATTGACTCATTATGCATCTCTTTATTACTCATGCAGAAAAAAATTGTAAAGATCCTGACTTTTATGTCATGATTTACAAATTAAGTTTTTTTTTTGTTTTTTTTTTTTAATTTTTTAATTTGAATATAAATTACTTTATAAAAGAGTATATATGAAATAAGTGTTTTCCAAGAGGCTGTTTTGGGATTTTGATTCTCAATTATCCTTTTCACTGTGGCAAATGAAACTTAAAAAACTTAGCTTAAAGTAATGTTTGACCCAATGCTGCGTGCTACACCTAAGGTGCAGTGTGTTTTTGCAGCCCTTAGCCTTCTTTTGCCCAACTGAATAGCCTATTACTAGTTAGGTACTGAGGAGCATCGCTGATCTTCTATTAAAGGAAAATTTTTGTTGTTATTTTTTCATCTGAAGAGAGTTTAGATATTATAAGTAACAATCAAAATTAAGAGAGAAAATAATAATAAAAGAATAGCTACAAACAGCATTTGCAAGCTTGATCTGCAGAAAATTTTAGAAACAACATTAAAATGTCCTATTTCCTGTTTCAAAGAATCATAGAATC